GGGTGGGGGGAGGCAGGCTCCCTGCTGAGCAGAGAGCCCAATGCGGGGCTCTATCCCAGGACCCTGAGATCATGACCCAAGCCAAAGGCAGAGGCTTTAACCCACTGAGCCACCCAGGCGCCCCGGTGCCCTCCATTTTTGCCCCTTGCCAAGCTCTGCCACATAGCAAACAACCCTCTTAACAGATCCAGCCACACCTTCTGTCACCCTTGAAAGGCTTCTCCTTGTACTTAGGATGAAATGTCAGTGCTTTGCCCTGGTCTGCAAGATCTGACTTTTGCTTCTGTCTCTAATCTCTCAGCTGCTGGTATCCCCTTCCTCAGCTGTGCTTTAGCTTCATTGGTTTCCTCTCATTTCACAGAAAAAGCCTACTTGTTTCCCATATCAGGACTTTAGCTCTTCCTTCCATCTAGAATGACAGTGACCTTTATCTTTTATGTCCTTTAGGTCTTAGCTTAAAACATCACTTCCTTGAACTCCACAGAGAGACAGAAGATTTTTGCCATCCTTTTTTCTTTCCTTACCCTGTATTATGTTCTTGTTTCCTTTAGAACACTTGCAATTTTTTAAGTTTTTATTTAAATTCCATTTGTTAACATACAGTGTCATATTAGTTTCAGGTGTACAGTTTAGTGATTAAACACTTCTTACATCGCCCAGTGCTCATCACAAGTGCCCTCCTTAATCCCCAGTCCGTATTTATAATCTTTCCACACCTTTCCCCTGGTAGCCATCATTTTGTTTTCTATAGTTAAGAGTCTGTTTCTTTTTTTTTCTTTTCTTTTTCCTTTTGTTTCTTTTGAGAGAGAGAAAGATAGAGAATCCCAAGTATGCTCCCCACCCAGGGCTAGCCTGCCATGGGAATTGATCTCATGCCTGAGATCACGACCTGACAACCTGAGCCAAAATCAAGAGCTGGACACTCTGCTGAGCCACCCAGCTGTCGCAAAAATCTTTTTCTTGGTTTGCCTCTCCTTTTTCCCTTTTGCTCTTTTGTTTTGTTTCTTAAATTCCACATATAAGTGAAATCTTTTGGTATTTGTCTTCATATTTGTATTCGTATTCATATTGCTTAGCATAATACTTTGGAGCTCCACCTATGTTGTTGCAGATAGTAAGATTTCATTCTTTTTTTATGGCTGAGTAATATTCCTGTGTGTGTGTGTGTGTGTGTACACGTACATATATGTATACGTACATACATACCTCCTCTTCTTTTCCCATTTATCAGTCGATGGACACTTGGGCTGTTTCCATAATTTGGCTCTTGTTGATAATGCTGCTATAAACATCAGGGGGCATGTATCCTGTTGAATTAGTATTTTTGTATTCTTTGGGTAAATACCTAGCAGTGTGGTTGCTGAATCATAGGGTAGTTCTATTTTTAACTCACTGCATTTTTTTCCGCACTATATATATATATATATTTTTAAAGATTATTTATTTATTTATTTGACAGAGAGAGAGATCACAAAGCAGGCAGAGAGGCAGGCAGAGAGAGAGGAGGAAGCAGGCTCCCCGCTGAGCAGAGAGCCCGATGCGGGGCTCGATCCCAGGACCCCGAGACCACGACCCGAGCCGAAGGCAGCGGCTTAACCCACTGAGCCACCCAGGCGCCCCTCCGCACTATATTTTTGATGTTAGTAGTTTTCTGCTTGTCCAGTGTTCTCCCTCTAAGTTGTAAATAAACTCCATGTTGGGAGAAGCCATGTTTGTCTCATTCACCATTCTTAGCATTTAGCATAGCTAGCACTTCACATATAGCAAACACTCGGGATTTGTTGGATAAATGTATAAATGAATGTACTGAATTCTTCCTCAAAGTCTGAAGTATAGGGACTTCCTTCCTCCTGTCTTGGTGGTGTAACCCAACTTAAACTTAGAAGCTAAGAATCAGCTTATGTACCTTTTTTTTCCCTCTCAGTTCTCCCCCAGTCTGTTCAGCCACCATTTTTTGTCAGCCTTAAACTTTTATCTTGCATTATGAAAACCTTTCTTTTTAAAGATTTTATTTATTTATTTGACAGACAGAGATCACAAGTAGGCAGAGAAGCAGGCAGAGAGAGAGGAGGAAGCAGGCTTCCTGCTGAGCAGAGAGACCGATTCGGGGCTCGATCCCAGGACCCTGGGATCATAACTGGAGCTGAAGGCAGAGGCTTTAACCCAGTGGGCCACCCAGGTGCCCCGCATTATGAAACCCTTTAATAATATCTTGCCCCGTCTCACTCCCACCAAACACCATTCTTATTACTTTATAGTCACATGATTGGTCTTTCTTTTTTTTTAATTTTAAGATTTTATTATTAGAGAGAGAGAATGAGCAGGGGAGGGGCAGAGAAAGAGGGAGAAGCAGACTCCCCTGCTGAGCAGGAAGCCCGGTGGGACTTGATCCCAAGACCTGGGATCATGACCTGAACAAAAAGCAAATACTTAACTGACTGAGCCACTCAGGCGCCCCAGTCTTTCTAAAAATAGAATTGTGACCATTTTTTTTTTTCCTGCTTCAAAATTGAGTTGTCCAATAGGCTAAAAGTTTGAGTTTCCTAGCTTTGTGTACCGGTCCCATCTGCCTTTTCCCTTCCTTTCCACTTTCCTTTGTAGCTTTTATACCACTATGTTCCAATAGTGTTGATCTACTCAGGGTCTTCAAATAACCTGCTGGTCTGTGCCTGCTTGTGTTTGATACCTTCTTCCACCCTTCATAATCTCCCCCCACTCCCCTAAACTTATATTTAGTCTTCAGAACTTTTTCCACAGTTAGTATCATCTGTACTAGTTCAATAGCTGGTGCAAATCACTACTGCATGTAATACACGATTACAGAATTTCTTGTGGTCACAGGAGTTTAATTACCTTTTGTGCCCATTACTTAACACAGGATCTCACACATAGAAGATGCTTAGTAAATCTTTTCTAAGTAAAATCTGGTATAACCCATTTATTTTATAGATGAGAAAAATGAGGCCCACAGAGGTAAGTGACTTATCAGAAGCTGTTGATTAATTTGGTTAGAAGTAATCATTAGTAGTGTTATTTGTATATTATATATCCTGTACTTGTTTACCTATTTTCTTTCTTTCATTTTTTGTTTTGTTTTTTTGTGAACCAGGTTACTATGGACAAAACTATAGGCTCTGGAGTTGAGCTGGTTTTGTTTCCTGATTCTGCCACATATTTTGACTTTGAGCAAGTGACTTAACCTTTTTAAGCTCCAGTTTCCTCAGTTATGTTAGTAATAATAATAGCATTACAGTATTATTATGGCATTATAAAGAATAAATGAAGTAGTCTGAGTAAAGGGTTTAGAAGAATGCTTGGCACAAAGTAAGCAGTAAATATAGTCACTGTTACTATTAGCATCCATCATTGTTCATTGGCCACAATGCCTCCTGGAAAAGGCATGAGATTTAGTTGTTATTACAAGCTGGTTTTGGTTCTCTTATAGGCAAGCTGACTGATAGAACAGCAAGCATTTTCCAAGGCAACCAAATGAAACTGAAGCTGGTCAATATTCAAAAAGCTAAAATCTCAGCAGCTGCATTCACCAAAGCCTTCTGCCATCACAGAGTCATTGAGCTAGATGCCACTGCCGTGCACACTGACCTCCCAATCCCAGACATCATAAGTGGACTCTGCAGCAATAGCTGGATCCAGCAAAACCTTCGGTGTCTCCTGTTGGACTCTGCAAGCATCCCTCGAGATTCAAGACTGCTATTCTTTGGTCAGCTCACTGGTCTTCGCATTTTAAGTGTTTTCAATGTTTGTTTTCATAGTGAAGACCTGGCTAATGTTGCTCAGTTACCAAAACTGGAAAGCTTGGATATCTCCAATACTCTGGTCACTAACATCTCTGCACTCCTTATGTGTAAGGATCGACTCAAATCTCTGACAATGCACTATCTGAAATGTCTGACTATGACCAAACCACAAATTCTTGCAGTTATTAGAGAACTTAAATGTCTGCTTCACCTTGATATTTCTGATCACAGGCAACTCAAATCAGATTTAGCTTTTCATTTGCTGCAGCAAAAGGATATTCTGCCCCATATTGTGTCACTGGATATTTCAGGGGGCAGTTGCATCACCGATGGAGCTGTAGAACTGTTTATACGGCAGCGGCCTGCGATGCAGTTTGTGGGACTGTTGGCTACGGATGCTGGTTATTCTGACTTCTTTACTGCAAAGCAAGGCTTGAGGGTTTGTTTTCATCTGCTATAAGTTTGTTTCCTTTGTTCAGAACTTTATTAGGCTTTTGTTTTATATAAGAATGTACATGAGGCATTAGGGTTACAGAGACAGATAAAAAATCCTTAAGGAGCTTAACAATAATTACTGTGTAGGTACCATGTGGTAGGTTCTGGAAATTTGGCCTTAAACAAGATACGGTCCTGGCTGCCAGGTCTTCTAGTCTAGTTTGGTATGATAAGTATAGCCATTTATACATTCCTTCCTATGTACCAGATGTCACGTTGTGCACGTTGTTTTCCTCTTTAATCTTTCCATTTTACAGATGAGGATTTGGAAGCTCAGAGGTTAAATAATCATATAACTACGTATTAAATGGTAGAGCTAGGACTTGTATCCAAGTCTTTGTGACTCTAAAACTTGTGTTGTTTACCTCTAATAACAGCTAAATAAAATTAGTAAGGTGGGTGATCAACATTTTTGGTAAAGGTATAAGAGAAAACAATTTTGAAAAGGTTCTTTAAAAAAGTTTTGACAGGGCTTCTGGGTAGCTCAGTTGGTTAGGTGTCTAACTCTTGATTTTGGCTGATGTCATGATCTCAGGGTTGTGGGATCGAGCCCTGTGTCAGGCTCCGTGCTCAGTGGGGAATCTGCTTGAGATTCTCCCTCCCCCGCTCTGCCTTTCCTCCCACTGGCACACTCACGTTTGTGCTTATTGTATCTCTCTCAGATAAACAAATCCTTAAGAAAAAAAAGTATTGAACATTGCCAGAATAAGTTTATAACCAATCATGGTGCTATTTATTTTTATTTTTTAAAATGTGAAATGCTTTATAAATTTGCATATTATCCTTTTGTAGGGGCCATGCCGATCTTCCCTGTATTGTTCCAGTTTTAGTATATGTACTGCTGAAGCAAGCACTCATGGTGCTGTTTTTAGAACAGCATATACTTAAATATTTATGTTTCAGAATATTTTTTCTTTCTTTTTTTTTTTTAAAGATTTATTTATTTATTTATTTGACAGACAGAGATCACAAGTAGGCAGAGAGGCAGGCAGAGAGAGAGGGGGAAGCAGGCTCCCCGCCAAGCAGAGAGCCTGATGTGGGGCTCCATCCCAGGATGCTTGGATCGTGACCTGAGCCGAAGGCAGAGGCTTTAACCCACTGAGCCACCCAGGTGCCCCGAATATTTCTTTTTTCAAACAATGGTTCTCTGCCTTGGTTGTACATTCTAATCACTTTGGACGTATTGAAATGTACTGATGCCTGTGTCTGATCTCCCGGAGATTCTAATTTAATTGGTTTGGGACTTGGCATGGGCATCAAGATTTTGAAAGTTCCCAGGTAATTCTAATGTGCAGCAAAGGTTCAGAACCACTGGTTTAAAATGCTTTGTAATTACACCATATGTAATTCCTTCTAGGGTGAGAGAGTAAAATGATTTCCCAATCATTAATTTATATTTATTTATTTGTTTGTTTATTTGTTTATTTGCTTACTTACTGTGACCAGCATGGGGCCCAACTCACAGCCCAAAGATCAAGAGTCATGTGCTCCATCGACTGAGCCATTGGGGTGCCCCAGTTGTTTTCACATTTTTATCCCATCCCCCCATAAAAGGTCTCTCACATAAATTACTGGACAAGCCTACTGGTGCAGAAGCATAGTGACAGAGAAAAATCAGCCCTCAATAAAACATGTCTGTTCTTCAGGTAGTAGTGATGTTTACAGAGTGATAGAATATGAGCTGGTGACCTTCATGCAGCATAAATATGTGTGCCATCTCATGTGTAATCTCTTTAGACCCAGCCTTGTTCTTCTTCAGTGCCTCTTCTTGGCATTGGTACTGGATTTTATTACCAGTTCTCATCAGAATCCTTTGGGGAATGGGACGCTTCTGCTTTTGTTTCTTGGCCAAGAATTGCTTGATCCTGAAAGTCTTGTGAGAAGACATAGCAAAGGGTAGTCAGCCGCACACACCACAATGGTGTAGAAAAGGAGAGAGCTGTTTTCACATTTTTATTCTTTTGATGAAAATAGCAATTGTATTTTGGAGTCCTTTTATACTTTTTATTTAATTAATTAATTTATTTTTAAATATTTTTTATTTATTTAACACAGAGAGAGAGAGAAAGATCACAAGTACGCAGAGAGGCAGGCAGAGAGAGGGGAAGCAGGCCTCCCGCTGAGCAGAGAGCCTGATGCAGGGCTCGATCCCAGGACCCTGAGATCATGACCCGAGCCCAAGGCAGAGGCTTAACCCACTGAGCCACCCAGGTGCCCCAAGAGTCCTTTTATATTTTTAAAAAATATTTTGTTTATTTTAGAGAACACACGTGAGTGGGGGAACGTGAGTGGGGGAAAGGGCAGAGGAAGAGAATATCTAAGCAGACTCCCACTGAGCGTGGAGCCCTACACAGGCCTCAATATCATGACCCGTGAGATCAGGATCTGAGCTGAAATGAAGAGTCTGACACTCAACTAACTGAATCACCCAGGAGCCCATGAAGTCCTTTTAATTTTCTTTTTCTTTCTTTCTTTCTTTTTTTTTTTTTTAAAGAGTGGGGTTTGTTTGGTTTTTTTTTTAAAGATCTTATTTATTTATTTGACGGACAGAGATCACAAGTAGGCAGAGAGGCAGGCAGAGAGAGAGGAGGAAGCAGGCTCCCTGCCGAGCAGAGAGCCCGATGCGGGGCTCGATCCCAGAACCCTGAGATCATGACCTGAGCCGAAGGCAGAGGCTTAACGCACTGACCCACCCAGGTGCCCCAGTCCTTTTAATTTTCTAGCATGTCTAATGAAGCTGGAAACCATCAGTTACATTATTAGGCTTGAATAGAGATAATAATGGGAACTTTCAGATTAAGCATGTAGAGCATTGTTTACCAGGAGTGTGTGTACATAGGCCTGTTTAAGATTAATAGCATTTAGGGTCTCAGTGATAAAAAGACTGCAGCAATTGGCGGAATAATTGTTTTTTAGCACATAAACTGTTGGTATATGCAATAATATGGGACAAATGCTGGAATATTCTATAGACGGATTATGCATGTAGTTAAGATACTGTTAGAGTGGGTATACCAAAAGAAAATGGGAAGCTGTGTTTCAGTAAACTTACCTGGTATACATGTAAGTTTAGTTTATTTTGAAAATTTCAAATTAGGTATCATACACAGTGTTAGATATTGTTGAGATGGAGAGGAGAGACGGCAATTCTCCCACTACTAAGAAACTCCAAAGATCTTAAGCCAGCCTTATGGGGAGTGTAAGGTATGGCAAATTTAAAAGGTATGTTTCAGGGGCGCTTGGGTGGCTCAGACAGTTAAGCATCTGCCTTCGACTCAAGTTATGGTCCCAGGGTCTCCACAACTGGCTTCCTGCTCAGCAGGAAGCCTGCTTCTCCCTCTTCCACTCCCCCTGCTTGTGTTCCCTCTCTTGCTGCATCTCTGTTTTATATAAATAAATAAAATCTTTTTTTTTTTTAAAGATTTTATTTATTTATTTGACAGACAGAGATCACAAGTAGATGGAGAGGCAGGCAGAGAGAGAGAGAGAGAGAGAGAGGGAAGCAGGCTACCTGCTGAGCAGAGAGCCCGATGCGGGACTCGATCCCAGGACCCTGAGATCGTGACCTGAGCCGAAGGCAGCGGCTTAACCCACTGAGCCACCCAGGCGCCCTAAATAAAAAAAATCTTAAAAAAAGAAAGGTATGTTTCAGGAAACATTTTATTTAATGGAAATATGTTTGAGGTCAGATGCAAAGTATACTAAGTATCTTAGTGTTTGAGCTGATCAAAAATTTGCTTACAGGGACGTCTCGGTGGTTCAGTCAGTTCAGTGTCTGCCTTCAGCTCAGGTCATGATCCCCGGGTCCTGGGACTGAGTTCCACCGGGCTCCATGCTCTTGTCGGGGTGTCTGCTTTTCTCTTCTGCCTGTCTCTCCCCGTGCTTGTGCTCTCTTCCTCTGGCAAATAAATAAAATCTTTAAGAAAAATTTGCTTACATTTAACATGGATAAAATTAAATGTCAGCAAAGACTTCAAAGACAACAGATACTTATTCACCTCAAATTAGAATGGGCAACATATACTTAATTCCTTTAACATAGGCAGAAGCAGGGGTGGGCACCTGGCTGGCTTAGTCAGTAGAGCATACAACTCTTGATCTCAGGGTCATGAGTTTAAGCCCCACCTTGAATGTGGGAACCTACTTAAGAAAATAAAAATAAAAAATAAAATGCGCACAAAGGATACCCTACATTAGTATTAAAAGCCATGCAAAATCTTCATTTGGTAGGAAATCCTTGATCCATTGGTGGGGTGTGGCAAGAATCCCTTCTGAAGATTGTTGTGTAATGGCATCTGCAGGAAGCCAAGGAGAAGAAAGGGGGAGGCAATAGCTGTCTGGTCTTCTACTTGGTCTTGCTGTGGCTTCTCCTTTGTTCCTTTTCAGGTCTTACATCTGGATGATCATAAAGCTTTTAAAAATTTTAGAATATATCCATTATTTAGATTCTTAACATGTAGGTCCTTGGGCAGTTAAACAATGTATAGTGTTTAAAAATTGTTTTGAAATAATTTTTAACTTGTGGGTCATTAATTTTAAACATTTGCCACATTTGTTGTGTCATATCCTCTTTCTACATACAATTTTTTTCTGAACCATTCAAGAGTAGCTTACATATATCATGCCCCTCTAGCCCTTAATGCTTGATTTTGTATTTTCTGAGAGCAGTGATGTTCTCTTTAATAGCTACCATGCAGTTATCAGATTTCAGGAAGTTTAACATTGCATCAATACTGTACATAATCTTACTGTACATATTTACAGTGTTGATTATCCCAATAATGCCCTCTGTAAAATATTTTTCCTCTTAGGCCAGGGTCAGTTTTGCATTCATTTGTCATGATCCCTTGTAATTTAATCCAGAAGAATTCTTAGTCCTTCTGTCCTTTGTCACATTGATATTTATGAGGAATACAGACTAGCTTTGTTTTGTTGACTTTTTTGAAGAATAGAATGTTCCTTATTTTGGGTTTGGTCTGATGTTTCCTTATAATCTGGTTCTTCGTCTTTGGCCACAATTCTGTGTGAAAGGTGTTGCGTCAGTCTCAAGAATATCAATTCTGAAGCGTACAGTGCCCCTCATTAGTCATTTTTCTTTTTATCATGTAGTGAAAAGTATTGAGCAGATATTAGATAAAATGTCTAGTGTAGATAAAATGCTATCTACATAGTATTGTATTGTTTCTACACTATATATAGGTAATTTTTTTTTTCTCTTGCAAGTAGTAAGTGATATATAAGGTAGTTGAAGACCATGCAAATATCCTGGTCCTCATCAAATTTACTAATCTGGATTTAGCATCCACTGAAGATTTTTACCTGAACCAGTCTTTACTGGAATTGTTACAAAGTAATGATTTTCCAACTCTGGCCCTCCTTTCTACATTTAGTAGTAGGCTTCCTACCATAAGGAAGAACCCTGCCTTCTTCTATGTCTAACCTATTGTCAGTATGAACTCATTGCCTCTCGTTGTTTTCAGGGGTTTACCATTCATTACTGTCCTTAATTACTTTGATGCTCAGTTTGTTACAGATTGGCCAATGAGAGCTCCTTCATACCGGCTCCTGTATTATCTTTTACATGTTCCCATTCTTATAATCATTGATATTATTTTGAGTACTTCCTTACTTTCTAGCACATTGGTGTTCTAGGTCTGCTACACTTCCCTGTTTTAGCCCTTCTGACATTTCCACTAGGGGCCCTGGTTCCTTTTATTAAGAAGCTAGTATTTGAATACTGGGTATGCTCATTGTTGTTGGTACACTTTGTTTTTAAGTCCTTTCTGCAAACAGGGCTAAGAGATACATGAAATAAGCTTAAAAATAATACTTGTAGGGTGTCTCAATGGCTCAG